ACCAGTCTAGTAGGTTTTGTCCTGTTTTGCGATTTGCAAAACAGTGATAAAAATTATACGAGCAAGATAAGTATGGCTGTGTTATAACAATGTACAGAGTGATTATAAATGATTTTCATCTAGCCAGCTGTGAATTTTCCATGAAAAATAAATGCCGCTTTACGAAAATAGGGGTACTTGCTTGTTTTAACTCAAAATTGAAAAATCGCCGTTTACTAAGCGTCCACTTCGAAAATCGACTTCAATTATAAACTTGTTTTCTTCCAAAGTATACATTATTATCAATTATTATTGGAAATTAGTTGAAACAATAAAAGTTTAATTAACAACAATTTATTATTAATTAATATGTGACACTAATGACAGAACTAGAGCTTTCAAAAAATTAGAGCGGCACAAATAAAATTACATGCAAAAAAATTCCAAAGCTGGCTAGATGAAAATCATTTATAACCACTCTGTACTTGTACGTTATGTAGTTGTTTTTTATGTATTTGTGTAATATTTATTTATTCTTTTGTAAATACATTTTTTTATTATAACTTGGCGTTTTTTTAACAATCAGAACACACATTAAAAAAATAACTTTATTACAATAAATAAATATTTTGTACATAACTTGTCAATTATTTCAAATTTCTACTATTTGTTTTGGAGCGAATGCAACTTGTAGTAGAGTCCTTTTTGGGTTAGGAGCTCAGAATGTGTCCCAATTTCTGCCACTACTCCCTTGTCTATGACACAAATAACATCAGCATCTTGAATAGTGGTCAACCTATGAGCTATTGTTATACAAGTTCTTCCCTTCTTTGCATTATCAAGAGCCTCCTGCACCACCTACAAGTCCAAAAACACCAATAACCTCCGTCTAGTAGTCCAAAATGAGTTACCTTTTCACTTTCCGAGTCCAAAGCACTAGTAGCCTCATCCAAAAGCAACAATTTCGGATTTCGTACCAAAGCTCTAGCAATTGCAACTCTCTGTTTCTGGCCTCCTGACAATTGAGTTCCCTTTTCACCAAGACTAGTTTCATAACCCTGAAAACACAAATGAGTTTTTCCCCGAACTAAATAAACCAGGGCCGTACCCAAGGGGGGGGGGGATTAGGGGGTTCAAACCTCTCCTGAAATGCTGAGCACTTTGTTATATAAGTGTTAAAAATTTACTTTTTTTGTTATTTTAGTGAGTTAATTTTAAATTTTTGTGAATTAATTTTTCATGTGTTAATTATACAATGTTTCATTTCTATTGTTAGGTACAAATTTAAATAGTTGATAGAATATTTAAATTTAAGATAAAAGTATTTCAAAAAATGCTATCAAAGGGAGCTACACCCCCTAAAAAGGTACGTTTTTTAAAGAGTTTTTCCTAATATTTCAGAATAGATAAAATTACAAAATTTGGTACTTTCATATGTACACCTAAACAAATGCCAAATAACAAAATTTTTAATCAATAATTTCAAAAAAATCCACCAAAATTTCAGTGAATCCAATACGTAAATTCATCGCAATTCCATTGTTTTTAGATTAATTCCACAATTCCAAATTAATTCTAAAAATACAACATAATTTTTAAAATAAATTATCTCCGATAATTCTAAAAAGAATTCTAGTAATTTCAGAAAAAATCCATTAATTAACAAATAATTTCAATAAAAAATACACCGAAATTCTAGTAAATCCAAACCATAATCCACATTTATTTCATCGTTTTCAAATTAATTCCTGTAATTCCAGCTTATTTATAACTTAATTTTTATAATTCCAAAATAATTTCTCTTATTTCAACTTAATTCCAACTTAATGTTCGTAATTCCAAAATAATTCCTGTCATTCTAAATTATCTTCGATAGTTCTAAGAAATTCAACGTAATTTTGAAAAGAAACTATCTCGGATAATTACAAAAAGAGTTCCAGTAATTGCAGAAAAAATCCAGTAATTAACAAATAATTTCAGTTTTTAAAGAAACATCGAAATTCCAATAAATCTAATACATAATCCACATTAATTCTATCGTTTTTAAATAAATTCCTGTAATTCTAACTTATTTTTAACTTAATTTTTGTAATCCCAAAATAATTCCTATAATTTCAAATTAATTCCTGTAATTTCAACTTAATTCCAACTTCATTTTCGTAATTTCAAAATAATTCCTATAGTGAGTCAATTTTAAATTTTTGTGGATTAATTTTTCATGTGTTAATTATACAGTGTTTCATTTTTATTGTTAAGTACAAATTTAAAGAGATAGAATATTTAAATTTAAGACAAAAGTATTTCGTAAAATGCTATGAAAGGTAGCTACACCTCCTAAAAAAGGTACGTTTTTTAAAGGGTTTTTCCTAATATTTCAGAATAGATAAAATTACAAAATTTGGTACTTTCATATGTACTAAACAAATGCCAAATAACAAAATTTTTAATCAGGGGCGTCCTAAACGGTAAAACAAATTTAATTTTTAATTTTTATGATCTGTAACATAAATTTTTAAACCGATTTTTACTAAAAATCCGTAAATTTTATCGGAAAAACACAAAAGACCTTTTTTGAAAAACTATGAAATTTTGTTGCTGAAAGTGGCAAGAAACCGCAGGCAAAATAGAGTAAATTTTTACCCTAATCTTATCTAGTTTAGGAAGCCCTTAATTAAAAATTTCAACATATTATTTTTGTACTTGTTTAGGTGTGTAAAAGTTATCATCTGTACCAAACTTTGAATTTTTTTTAAAATGATTTCGGAAATATGGAAAAAAAACATATTAAAAGACGCACCCCTTGCGTAGCATTTTTTGATATATGCACATAAAAAAATTTTGTTTTAAAAATGAATATTCTATCTCCTGTTTAAATTTGTAACAATAAAAAGTATTAAAAAATTGTTTTATTTTTGTTACTTTTGTGAGTTAATTTGAATTTTTTTATGTTTAATTAGGATCTCTTATTTCAATTTAAAATAAAAACGTGTACTTAGAGATTTTTGCTTTTTAATCCGCCTTTCTTTTCATTTTCATTGACCAACTAGAAACCCCCCTCGAAAAAAATCCTGGTTACGGCCCTGAAATAAACTTGTTAGGTTACCAAAGGCAATGATGCGATAAAGTTGTGTATGTTTGCATTTTTGGCAGCTTCCATAATCTCTTCTTGAGTTACGTCTCTCAAATTGTCACCATAGGCGATGTTTTCGCCGATGGTTCTATTGAATAGATTTGGTTCTTGTGAGACTATCCCCAAATGGGAACGATGCGATTCTAATTTGATATTTCTTATGTCTTCGTTGTCGACTGTAAGGGTGCCTTCAAGTGGGTCATAGAACCTTTCGATTAGTTGGATTATTGTTGATTTTCCGCAACCACTTGGCCCAACTAGGGCTACAGTTTTCCCTTGCATTACTGACAAGTTTAGGCCTTTTAGGACTGCGATGTTTGGACGGGTGGGGTATGAGAAGTATATGCTGTCGTATTGGATGGCCCCATTTTCCTTTAATTAATTGCGATCAATATAAAATGATAAATCATCAGTATTTAATAAATTTTTGTAAAAATAGTCAATGCTAAGTATTTTATTGTAATTTGTTGAGAAAAAATCCAATTTTGCACAGTAAAAATAATGAACGCTCAGTAACATTAATCAAAATTAGTAAAACAACATAAAATTTAAAGAATTTTCACTCTTGGTTACATAACAATGTATGGCCCCTGCGCAAGAATGTTGTTTATTATTGGTACTTATTTTTATATTATTATTTTTACATTTATTTATTTTGACACCAGAAAAAGGCAAAAATAGCAACATTTTTGACCTCTTGTTGAATTTTTTGCTTGTTTTTAGCGAAATTTTACGAAATAATTGCGTTTCTGTCTTAAAAAAGAATAGTCATTTTTGACTCGGTATATGGCAAAATTTCGGGAAAAAACGGTATTTTCGTGTAAAAATCTGCTTAAACTCTCGAAAAAGGCAAAAGTGACATTATGTTCAGCCTAATTTTGTGTTTTTTAGGCTTGTTTTGAGAAAAATTTGCGAAATAATTGTGTTTTTAGCTCGGGAAATGCAAAAATAATATAATTTTCGACTTAATTTGTTGATTTTTTGGTTTGTTTTCGACTAAATTTTGTGGTTTTTCTGCTTATTTTTGTCTTAATTTATATCAAAGACCACTTAAATTCAGTAAAACTAGGAAAATAACATCAACATCAATTCTTTTTGTGATTTTTAAGCGTGTTTAGACAAGATTTTACAAAATAAATGAGCCTCTGGTTCAAAAACGAAGTAAGTCGAGTGAAACAAACAAAAAAAAACGAACCAATGTCGATTTAATTTTGTAATTTCTCAAGCTTGTTTAAACGAAATTTTTCGAATTTTTTTTGTTTTTATGTCAAAAACGTGCTTAAATGTTTGAATAAGGCAAAAATAACGACATTTTTGGCCTATTTCGTTGTTTGTTTTTGAACGCTTTGCGATTTATTATTTTTTATTTGCATTTATTATTATTGTTACTGGGCATTTAATATTTTTGCTGTGCATTTATTATTTTACTGGGCGTTTATTATTTTACTGTGCATTTATTATTTTTACTGTGCATTTATTACTATACTTTGCATTTAATTTGTTCCCATTATTAATTTAGGATGAAGTTTGTGTACAATTATCATATTTACCCATTCCTTATCTTTAGCATCGGCTTCGTCTTTGATAAGAGGAACTCTGTTGAGCAACCTGATGATTCTAGCAGCTGCTACTAGACCTTTTTGGAGATTTGGGGCAAATGCTAGGGCATTGGCAATTGATACGGTACCCATAATAAGTGACTGTGATACTCTGTAACACCATGATTAAATTTATCAGAAAAACGTCAATAAAAAAATTTACTTAAAAACATCCTGGTATAGTAGTCCTTCGTCCCTGATGAGATGACCCCCATAGTACATACAAACAGAATAGGCAAAGAACATCACACTTCGAGCTAGACCTAACACAATAGCACGAAAATGTGTATTTCTCAAAGTCCTTTTGTGGTGTTCCATTAAAAATGAGATGTAGAGTTTGTGGAAAGTTTCTTCAAGTCCTAGGGATACTACAGTGCGCACATTACCGACTGCTTCAACTGCCAACTACAATTCTCAATGATTATGTTTCTAGGGTTGAAAATAGTACTTACTTTATTGGATTTTTGCAAGGACTTGTGATGAGCTTCATTTTCGACGTTCATTAATCTGTGTTGGAAAAAGACAGTAAGGAGGATAAAAGGCGTAAAGGCCAATGCTACAAGTCCTAATTTCCATTGGTAGTACATGGAAAGTCCTACTGATAATCCAATTGTTGCAATTGATTGTAAAATTGTACCAAGTCTTTGACCAGTGGCCTGAAAAAATTTATGTTTCAACTAATTTAATCCGGGGAAAAACTTACTCCTTGGACATGTGCAGCTTCACCAGATAATCTAGCAGTAAGAGCACCAACTCCATTGTCTTTTCTGTCATACCATCCCATCTCTTGTTTTAACATTGCTTTAAATGTCAAACTACGAAGTCTCATTGTTAGTTTTTCACCAGCGACACTAAACATAAATATCTACAAAGAATTTTGAATTAAAAAAAAATCAAGTCATGGTTTTATTTTACTTGTAAAAATGTTGCAATTCCAGAAGCAACTCCTGCGATTACGAAATAAATGCAAAAACGGTTGGTCTCAGACGTGACTTCGTCTTCGTTTTTTTCGGCCAAAACCTGGACAAATTTGTTATTAAAATGTACAAAATTGTTTTAAAAACATGTACCCCCATAATATCACCGAATATGACAGCAAACGCCGGCATGGAACATCCCATGACGATGGAGGCGATACAACCAATGGAAATTGACACCCACTCGGGTTTGTTCATTCTTAGAATTGACATCAACGATACGGATTTTTCGGCTTCTTGTACTTCTTCCTCAGCGTTGGCGTGCTAAATTTTGAGCACAAAGTTATCTCTTTTTTGTCCATTAAAACTTTTATGGTCAACGGAATTTGTTGACTTCTCATAACAAATTCTCGTAATCCGCGAGAAAAATATTAAAATTTTGATTTTTTCTGTTGATTTTAGGCAAAATTTAGTATTAACTAAACTAGAAACTGTAGTCGAATCGTGTCGGATTCGAGTACAACTCACACTATTAGATTTCGTCGACATTTATAGGGGGGCATTTATAGATTTTACACTATCAAATTATTTTGGTAGTTAGAGTATTTGCTCGTAATCCGCGACAAAAATATTAAAATTTTGATTTTTTCTGTCGATTTTAGACAAAATTTAGGATTAATTAAACTAGAAACTGTAGTGGAATCGTGTAGGATTCGAGTACAACTCACACTATCAGATTTTTTCGGCATTTATAGGGGGGCATTTATAGATTTTACACTATCAAATTATTTTAGTAGTTAGATTATTTGCTCGTAATCCGCGAAAAAAGGATTAAAATTTTGATTTTTTTCTGGCGATTTTAGACAAAATTTAGTAATAATTAAACTTGAAACTGTAGTCGAATCGTGTCGGGTTCGAGTACAACTCACCCTATCAGGTTTTATCGACATTTATAGGGATTTTAGATTTTACACTATCAAATTATTTTAGTAGTAAGAGTATTTGCTCGTAATCCGCGAGAAAAATATTAAAATTTTGATTTTTACTGTCGATTTTAGACAAAATTTTGTAATAATTAAACTAGAAACTGTAGTCGAATCGTGTCGGATTCGAGTACAACTTACACTATCAGATTTTGTCGGCATTTTTAGATTTTACACTATCAAATTATTTTAGTAGTAAGAGTATTTGCTCGTAATCCGCGAGAAAAATATTAAAATTTTGATTTTTTTGTCGATTTTAGACAAAAGTTAGTAATAATTAAACTAGAAACTGTAGTCGAATCGTGTCGGATTCAAGTACAACTCACACTATCAGGCTTTATCGACATTTATAGGAGGCGAGCGGCAAAGCCGCGKGCCCCCTTTTTGCTTTTACACTATTTATCACTATCATAAGTGTGAGAAACTTACCTCTTCGTCATCCAGAAGCGAAACCTGCCTTTCCAACTCCACCAACTTCCTGTTTTCGGCCTCCTTTCCCCCTTCAAACTTCTCCACAGCACTAACTTGGGTCATTACTAAATTATAATATTCACTTTTGAGTTCCATCAACTCGTTGTGAGTCCCCTGCTCTACAACTTTCCCCTTCGAAATAACAACAATTTTATTTGCATTTCGAATCGTTGACAAACGATGAGCCACAATAACAGTCGTGCAACCTTTACTAGCATTATCCAAAGCGGCTTGAACTTTAGCTTCGCTGTTTGTATCTAGCGCCGAAGTGGCTTCATCCAGAAGCAAAATCGCAGGATTTCTCACAAGAGCTCTCGCAATGGCAATTCTTTGTTTCTGGCCCCCAGACAATTGTGCCCCTCTTTCCCCAACCAAAGTGTCGTATCCTGAGGGAAGTTTTTTAATAAACTCGTGGGCGTTGGCTTTGATAGCGGCGTTTCTGATGTCTTCATCTGTTGCTTTGCTGTTTCCGTAGCGGATGTTCTCGGAGATTGTGGTGGCGAAAAGGACCGGTTCTTGGCCCACTACACCAATATTGCTCCTCAACCAAGTCAAATCCAAGTCTTTTAAATTCTTCCCATCCAAACTGACCTAAAAAAATGGTAATTCTATGGTTGGGACAGTTTTTTACTTACTTCGCCTTCCAGAGGGTCGTAGAAACGCTGGATGAGCTGGATACAAGTCGATTTGCCACAACCAGAACTCCCGACTAGAGCAACAGTTTGCCCGGATTGGATATCCAAATCTAGACCTTGCAAAATCTACAAAACTCTCAATTTTTCCATTTTTAAATTTAATTTTTGACTTACAGGAACATCTTCTCTGGAGGGGTACACAAATCGGACATTTTTAAATTTAATGTTGCCTTTGAGGTCCTGAATTTTGTCTCCCTTTCCTTTGGATAAATTAATTTTCGGGATATTGTCTATAATTTGGTACACTTTACTCGCCGCTGCTCTTGCAACACCAAACGCTTCTATGTATGGCGAGGAAATACCAAAATTCATAGTACCGGTCATGACACCAAAAAACACCTTAAATTTTTCGGTTATTTGAAGCCAAACTCAAGGAAAAAACATACAGTGACCATGGTACCAGGATCGTAGACTTTATCTGGCTTGTTCCTGTCTTCTAGAACCAGTTTAACACCATACCAAAACGCAAGGGCGTAACTCCCATAGATGAAAAACCACAAAAGACCAAAACCAGTCGCAGTCATGGACTGTCTTTTGATATTATTTTTTTTTGCAAACTCCAACTCTTCGTCGTAGCGAGTGATTTCCTTGTGTTGTCCCCCGAAAGCTATAACTGTTCGAATCGAAGTTAGGACTTCTTCGGCGATTGAACCAGCTGACCCGTAGGCATCTTGCTCTTTTTTCGCAAGTTTTGAAGTGAGCTGAAGAGTTAGTTGGAAAAAAAGGGGAAACTTTAAAATGCAACTTACCACAGCGATAATCCCGATTGCAAGCATGGACACGGGGAGGGAGACGAGACAGATAAGGGCGAGTTTCCACCCTTTCACCAACGCCATGATCAGGGAAGACAAGAAAGTGGCTTGGAAATGGATAAACATTGGGACTTTTTCCCCAATTCCGTCTTCAAATTTCGAGAGGTCGCTGTTTGGGGTTATTTTAAAGAGAGTTTCATTTTGGGGGACTACTCACTCTGACATCCGGCTTGAAAAATCCCCAGTGTTGTTCACATCGTACCATGAAATGTCTTGATTGAAGACTTTCTCTAAAAATAACGTTCGGAGTTTGAAAACCTGAAATTGAAAAACTTTGTGTGATTTGGGGGATTACATCATTAAAAATTACTTGTTTTAAGGCAGCGTAGTTGAAACATTCTGTGGAAATGTAACTCAGAATGAGCATTCCAACCCCAATTAAACTATTGTAAATTGCAAAATTTGTGATTCCATCAATGAAGACATCAGTGGCGTGTTCTTTTTGTTCGGCGTTTGTCTCATTTGAGTTAATGATTGAAACATAATCGACGATAGTTCCTGTCAAGTCTCCAAACAACAGTGTGTTTAAGGGTTGCAAAATTCCAGTGCCTATAGATGCGAAAACTGCTATTATCATCAAAAATGTGTCCCCTTTCGTGGCATATCGAAACTGAAAGTAGAAAAAGATAAGGATTCCGATGAATTGATGTCGCAATCTTTTGTAAAATAATAATGATTAATGATTTAATTTTGCGAAACTCACCAGTTTGAAAAATCCTACAGGAGGTGCTTTTTCGAGTTTTTCGCTTGGTGATTTTACAAATTCACTAGAATGAAATTTTAAGTTTGGTCGAAGATAAAGAATTTTTACTTACGGGGTTAAGGCATCTTTTTTCTCGTTTTTATCACTTGTCTCTAAATCGTACACTTTCCTCCCCATTGTAGAGTGGTGTTAAGTCATGTATTTTGTTAAAAAACTTAAAATATTGGATATTGTTACCTAATTAGTGTTGAAGGAGAATATTTTAAGATTCACATTTATCATAGACGTTGAACTAAATTGGTTTAGTCACTTAAGTTGTTTTAAGAGAAACAATGCGAAACAATATGCTTTTTATCTATCTTGATGGTCCCTAATATACCCGATAAAAATTATCAGATAACGTGGATTAGATCATTTTGATTAATCAAAAATTTTTATAGAAGAATGTTGCTATTATCATGACTGGTCGGTTCTGGGTTATTTTTAAAATTTCTTCACTTACTTAAGATTTGTGCTATCTATCTATACCTATGTTTTTTAAAAGTTTATTTAAAACGTGTACTGTTAAAATATTTCTTAGTATTTCTTGGTATTTTGGTAAAAAAGAAAATTAAAAACAAATATTCTAGCTCTGTAAACTCTAAAACGATTAAAATTCGCAGATTCTGAGCTATACCTACCTTGTCTCAGATTTAATGATAACTTGAGTAAAATTGCANAAAAACACATGATTTGCTTTATTTTTGAGAAAAGCATTGACTTGCGTTTTAATGGATGACACAAGACATAAAATGAAAGCATTTTAAAGCACTTCTTCATGACATACATATTTTTTTTTAATTATTTTCAGAATTTTTATTAAGAAATTTTGTATTTTTTTTTGGTGACTTTTATTTCTAGGTAAATTTAAGAATTCTAGTTTATTTTTATGGAAAGAAGTGTTACGAGATGATTACATGAAAAAATAGGAGTTTATCTTTGAGTATTGTGAAAAATTTTAGTTGCCAAGGTACAAAAGCATGGAAAAAGATTCTTATCTTTTCTGTATCTGTTTACACATTTCAAGTACAGTAGAGCCCCGATTATCCGGCTTCCAGTTATCCGGAAGTTCGTGTAATCTGGAAACAAAATCGGTTTTAAAAATTTTCTTTTACCTGAAAAAAATTTGCTCCAAACTCCATTTAATCCGAAATTGAATTTTTTTGTTGCAATTCTCAGAAGCGAAAAATCCATTTTTGTTTCTTCGTGCTTGAAGGAAAAATCTAAGAATAAACGTAAAAAGTCGAAGTCATCAATCAGATAGGCAAAGGTAGAAGGTAAGAAAATTAGGGTTGTATAAAATGTTATTATGAAAAGTATGATTTTTTTATCTTTAATTATTACATTAAAAATTTAGGATTATTTGGAATTTAATGTAATAACAATAATATGTAGCAAAATGTACTAGGGTAAAATTATTTGGAATACCTTTTAGTTCTAGTAATAATAAAATCTGATTACTTAACAAAAATTGTATTACACATAATTGTGCATGCTTCTATTATTATTTCCGTCAAATCATTTTAGAAATTGTTTTATTTGAAAGATAAAGTCATCTGATAACGATTTTTACTACTTTTTGTATAAACAAATGGAGTTTTTATATCGGATAAATAAAAAAATGTGTGATCGAAGTCGATTTAAAAAAAAATAAAAGTGTTTGCTTGATTTTACAAAAATTTGTACTGGCACTATTTGTCAAATGAAAGACAATTCAAGCTGTCAATTAGAACTTGTATTAAGTTTTTAAATTATTGTCACAGTTTATGACACTTTTGTCTTTGAAAAATATCTTTTGCTGCATATTTGGCACTCTTGGCAGAATTATTTTGTGTTTGACAAATTTTTGGGAATCAAGCAAGGATTTGAAATTTATTTCTGAGATTTTTACTCAACAGAAAAATTCAATGCGGCGCCCATGGCTCGCATCAGCTGACCGTGTAGCATTTATATTCTTACTCATTCGTGCAAGTGCTCCGCGGTATTTGTGTGTTTTGATCAGTGTATTGATCTGAAAAAAAGTTTCACTTGCTTCGTGCTTTCTTTAAATCATAGCAGTTTTTTTATTTTTATATTTATTTACTTTTAATTAAACATAAATAATTGTTAATTTTTACTGCTTTCCTGCCTCCGATTTAAAATTTATGTAAAATTCAAATTCTTGCTGAATTATTGCAAAATTATCACCAAATGGGTCTTAAAATACATTTCATTGAGTCGCATTTAGACTTTTTTTTCTAAAAACTCAGTGTCTCAAAATCCATAAGAAATTATAACTTTCAGCTAAATCGTGTTATTTTTGTTTTGCTTAAAATGCGGATTATAAGAATAATAATAATCTGGCTGATCGTAATGATGACGATTGGAATGACTGAGTGGTTCTATGATTATTTTTAGATACGTTCCATACAAATTTGTATAGTAAAAATATTTTCGTTTGTGGATTGTTTTGTTTAACTTTAGAAAAAAAATACGGTTTTATTAAACCATTTATTATGAGATTTAATAAAATAATCAAATGTATTGTTTCATTGGTATCTAATAAGAAGCAAAGTCAATTGATTTGCAACTTGGTAGTTTAATGACAAAAGGTTGATAAAATGAATTTATTGATCAAACTACGTGTTATTTTTGTTTTCCTAAAATCTACCAAATCATACCTATATAAAATATGTCATTCGATGTGGAATTTCCAATAAAATTGAATCTGACTGATTATTTTAAGTACCACTTATTGCATAATATTAATTAATAAAATAACAAATTGTTAAACCGATTTTGAAATTTTTTATAATTAATTCGATATTGGTTATAAAGGGATTGATTTTGCACCATTTTGGGTAACTTTTTATAATATTTCGTAATGTTGTCATTGTTTCAGGTTGTAACAAAAATAATAAAAACAAAAGTACCAAACACACAAAGAAAAATTACAGTTTTTTTAAAGTGAAACTTTTTTTCCATCGCCTTAAAAATTAGCAGTTTTTTTTATTTAAATACTATAGTGGTAAAAAAATACAATCTTGCCTTAAGAAAAAGAAAAAATAACTTGAGTCACTTTTATCAAAACAATTAACTATAGAAAATAATCTAGAATCATCTTGACTTAATCAGAATAGATAAAGGAGTGTTATATTTTATAAGTTTTTAAATTATTTTCACAGTTTATGACACTTTTGTCTTTGAAAAATATCTTTTGCTACATACTTGGCACTCTTGACAGAATTATTTTATGTTTGACATTTTTTGTGAATCAAGCAAAAACTTGAAATTTAATTCTGAGATTTTTCCTCAGCAGAAAATACGGTTTGAGCAAAGATAGGTATTTCTTTATGAGTAAAAAATGGGAAAATATATATTTGTATCAAAATTAATAAATTACACTACTTTATAAATAATAACTTGTTTAATGTACCTTATTTAATCAAATTATTTTTTTATGTTTACTTACTTTTAATTAAATAAAAATAATTTGTTTTTTATTGCGGACGATAATTTTCCTGCTTTGTGCACTAATGCCTCTGATTTAAAATTGATGTAAAATTCAAATTATTGCTAAATTATTGCAAAATTATCACTAGATAAGTCTAAATGGGTCTTAAAATACCTTTCATTGAGTCGCATCTCAAAATCTACAAGAAATTATAACTTTTAGCTAAGGTATAAAAATCGTGTAATTATTTTTGTTTTGTTTAAAATGCGGATTATAACGATAATAATAATCTGGCTGATCGTAATGATGACGATTGGAATGACTGAGTGGTTCTGTGTTTATTTTTAGATACGTTCTATACTACATACAAAGTTGTATAGTAAAAATATTTTTGTTTGTGGAATGTTTTGTTTAATTTTAGAAAAAAAATACTATTTCATTATTCATTTATTATGAGATTTGATAAAAAAATCAAATATATTGTTTCATTAGAATTCATTAGAATCTAATAAGAAGCAAAATCAATCGATTTGCAACTTAGTAGTAATGACAAAAGATTGATAAATTGTTTTTCAAACAAAGAATTTATTGATCAAACTACGTATGTTATTTTTGTTTTTCTAATATCTACCATTGATTTAGCACCATTTTGGTTAACTTTTTATAATATTTCGTAATGTTGTAATTGTTTCAGGTTGTAACAAGAATAATAAAAATAAAAGTACCAATTACACAAAGAAAAATTACAACATATGTTTTAATTTTTTTAATTAAATACTACAGTGGTAAAAAATACAATCTTGCCTTAAGAAAAAAATAATAACTTGAGTCACTTTTATCTAAACTATTAATTGTAAAAAATAATCTAGACTTAATCAGAACAGATAAAAGGGTGTTAAATTTAAATTATATTCAATAAGAATTAATGTTAAATAAAACTGTGCAGTACATACGTGTTTCAATGTCACTGTGGTAATGCAAACTCACTAGGGGTAGTAATCGTTTGTAAAAAAAGACCATTAATAATATTGAACTTTACCGTTCGATAAAAATAGGATAGTGTGTTTTTAGAAATAAATTATTTTACAATTACAGTTCGTTGAAAATGTGTGCAACCAAAAACTATTTTATTTTATTTTTTTTGCAAAATGCGTTACGAGTTTGGACTTTTCTAAAAATTAAGTACTATGCTCAATTGCCTTCATCGTTGGTGCTTGAACACAGAAACTTTTAGATAAATTATTTTGTCTACACTTAAAAACAATAATTGTGGTCAAAAAAATCCAAAATAACTAGACTTTGGATGCAATTCAAACAACAAAGTTTTTACTTTTTAATTGTTTTAATGTAAAACACTTTCTCTTGTAGCTCTTTTTTCTAATTTTGCTGTCATCACTATTTTGGACTTAAATTTGAAATTGAGAGACTTTCTGGGATGTCTTTTAGTTAGGGATGTAGGGTAAATAAAAAACGTCAATTACCAATTGCAATTTATTAATTTCAACTTTAACAAGTTAATTTTACAATTACATAACTAAAATATTAAGTATTGTCAGCTGAAAAAATATTTTTCTACAAGAATATATACAAGCCTTTCAACTAACGCAGAATATTTTGCCAACAGTATTGTTAAAATAATGTGGTCAATTAGTGCATGACAATGCTAATGATTATTAATTATTCTAAGAGGTCAATATGAGGCACCATCAATAATTTATATTCCTACTTCACTTTTTGTTAATACTCATATCATATAAAATGAAACATAAATCATTATTTCAAAACTTTCTATTCAAGTAAAACTCCCTAATTTTTAACTAAACCAAGTAAAAATAAATTTACAAGTTATCTACACTTTTATATCTAATATTGTTTTCGATTGACTACATTTTGTTGATACTGCAGATAATGCATGACTTTAACAAGATTAGTTACACCGAGAAAGTTTTGACCGTTTTAAGCCATCCATTACTACACTATCACTAAAAATTTATGATTAATACTTCAATAAAGATTTGGACGAATGATGTTTGCACTGTCACGATGACAATCAAAAAGTATGTCAAATGGGGTCTGATAATGGGTAATAATGATAAGATTATCAAACATGTTACAAAAAATGTGATTCTATATTTGACATTAAACAAGCCAATTAGCTTTTTTATTAGTACTGAGGTAAGTTAACAAATTCGTTGCGTTTCTACTAAAATCAAAAAGATGGTTTTTCTCTAGACTACGGATACCTAAAGGCTAGGATACGAAAACGTCTCCGTTTTCGATAGTTCCGTTAGTGAGGCCAGATAGCGCAGTTGTTCCTTCGTTTAAGTTTTAAGAGAATAATGAGCAAAACGCAAATAAAATAATTATAAAAAGATAGAGCATTAAATTCTCAGTAATAAGAAATAAAGGTAATGCAAAAATTTTATTGAAAACTATATTTAAAAAAAAAATCAAACATTTAGCAATTTGCGCCTCGTCTCATATTTTTGAAAATGCTACGAATACGGTTAAAGGTACAAGAAAAATATAAAAAAGAAAGTTGTAGAGAATAAAATTTTCAAAAAAAAAGTCCGCAAGAGATACTTCTATCTTCAATAGTTTAGGTCCTAAAGACGTTCAAAGACGCTCAAGTGACGAATACGTGTCACTTTTACCGGTGGTCAAGAGAGAAAAAATTTATTTAAACCTAAACGGTTGAAGATAGAAATATGGCCTCGGGGACTTTTTTGTAGGAATTCAATTCTCTACAACTTTGTTCTCTACACTTTTTTTGTATCTTCAACCGTATTCGCAGCGTTCTCAAAAATATTGAAGATAGTACTAAAAATAAATTATACAATTATCAGTTTGCGTTCCGCCCAATATTTTTGAGAACGCTGCGAATACGGTTAAAGATACAAAAAAAGTGTAAAAAACAAAATTGTAGAGAATAAAATTTGCTACAAAAAAGTCCGCGAGAACATATTTCTATCTTCAACGGTTTAGGTTTAAATTACTAAAGAGTTCCTCTGGCACTGAATCATCAGTAAAAATGTGGCTTCAGCGGCTTTGAACGTCTTTGAGGCTTAAACCATTAAAGATAGAGGTATGATCTTGAGGACTTTTTAGTAGAAAATTTTATTCTCTACAACTTTCTTTCTTACATTTTTTTTGTATCTTCAACCGTTTTCGCAGCATTTTGAAAAACATGAAACGGAGCACAGATTTTAAATTAAAAAAAAAAAATTCACATATTTCTCGCGAAAAATTTAGTTTTTCACAGTTTATTAAGAATATAAAGATGGTAAAACGCTCCAAGCGCCCTCATTTGTACTCCGCCGTACTACTTTTTTTGGTCCAAAATATCTTGTTTCGTCTCCTAGTATCTAGTTCTCCGTACTCTAGACTAAGCAAGTCATGTTTTTACAAAAAATTAGCCAAATTTATCAGTACTTGTTTATCATATATTTTATTTTAAAAACACCGTGAATCACCAGTATAAACGAAATTTGTTGTTTGTTTCCTTAAAAAGTCTATATTTTGCGAAAATACTCTTGTAACACATAAATCAGTATTTTAGATATCACTTTTAAGAAATCCTGCTTTCATCAGACATTCAATGTCTTCATCAGCTGAACTATCATCAGTTATGGATGGTGATGGAGATGATACGTTTCCCATTAGTGCGCTTCCTATTGTTTGCTGTTTTGAAATACTAGGACGAGAAGACCGTGACTGAGTGAACCAAGATTGTCTCCTATGAGAACTCCCAAAAGTTTCTTCAGGTATTGTATCACGGGTAATTGACCTGCAGAAAGCACCATTAAAAATTAACTAAATAATCCCTATTTCCTTTACAGTAATATTTACATAAAATGGGCAAATATACGTTATCCCTAACTATATTTTTTTAATTTTACCATTTAAAGGTCACTAATAGACTTTTTCAACTTGCTGGGACACCCCGTATAAACAAATTAATCTTCAAAAAATATGAAACTATGGTTTTTCATATTAATTAATTACAGAAAACTGTAAAACATCAAATTATGGTTATCGACAACGTATATTTCGAAAGCTTGAAACAAATATATTTTTTAAGTATAATTGCCTCATTTTTTAGTTTAAATAGAATGTCAGTGGCTGCCATAAGCATAGGCGCAACTAAGTGGGGACCAAAAAAGTCTGTTTTAACTTTCGGTACAATTAAATACAAGAGATCAGAATAATAATTTATTAACTTACAATTCTTTTTTTTACAGCGAACCAAGAAATTTACAACTGTTACTAGTAAATTGACTTTTGGACAATCTTTTATAATCACTCTGTATAAAACTTAAGTTAGTTGCGCCTGTGTCCATGAACTTGACTTCTTTATTTTAAATGTTTCTGGTGTTAGAAATATTTAAAATTGTAAAATTGTGCGTTAAATTAGGCTAAATGTGTTACTACTAGATTATTGGAAATATTTTAAACCTTACTGCATTTGGTGAGGTGCCGTGTATTGAATATCGTGTGTTAGTTTTGGTTATTTAAAGTAGGAGTACATTTAAACATTCACAATATTTATGTGTTTCATTTCTTACATTGTATTTTGTACAAGTGTCACATATGAGAAATCTCATCATTGTCAACACACCCGCTTAGTTCCAGCATGGAACCGCGACGGGCTTGTCTCCGTTGTCCTGGCGTTTGGGGTGGTTGAGGAAGAGGTGGAATGGTGCCAGTTTTGTGAAGCACACCCAAAGGGTCGCTTTCGCCCTCTTCTATGAGCAGAACGGCGTTGCGCCCTAATGAGCCCCGGCGCTCTTTCTGAGGGGTTGATTCTGAACTGCTTAAATGCTCCGAGCCGAGGCTTTCCCGCCGGAAAAGCCCAATCACAGACGAACGAGGATTTTCGAGGCCCCCTAAAAATATAATTAGTTGGTACACCACAAGCAAAAACAAGAAAAAGCCTAAGACAAAAAAAACATCTACTATTTCTGTGACGTTGCGAATGGCGGGAATACGATGTTCCGAACAAAGGCTTTCTAGAACTGTTATGAAATGGGTTTTTGTGGATCCTTAACTTGATCTTAATAAAAAAACACAACAGTTTTTATGTTTTTCTTTTTTTTCTTTCTCAGTTTTTTATAGAAACTATTATTTATCTCCTTCCTATTTTGTTTATTATTTTAATTTAATGAAAATTA